CGTAGTGTGCGGCCGCCGGATACCTTACACCGGCGCCCGCAACTTCCCCACAGGGTCACCGCTGCCGCCCGTCGGCACTCTGCCGCCCCGAGGCCGGGCCTCGGTGGCCTTGTGGGAAATCCGGGCCTGGCTGCATGCCTGAAACACTTGGCTGGAGACCTAGGGCTAGGGCCTAGCAATGCAGCTTAACACATACAATGACTCCAGGCACTGCCAATTTCAGTGACAGATCCTTAGCCTAAAGTGGCTAATATAATGATTTGGCAGCATTTTTTTTTTATAATTTAGTCCTCAATAATTTATTAACAGTTGAACTTAAAGGTAGAGTAGGGGAGGTAGATGGAATGCCCAAATACATTGCTATGGGCAGGAGACTCAGATTTTGAAAGAGATTGTCTTACTTCACCTACTATCTCTGTACAGCCAAGCTGAAGTAACAGCTCTGTACAGCACAGGTTCCAAAGTTTGCACCAGACCCTGAATAATTCAGAATGCCATTGGAGGTTCTAGTGTCTTTTGTATGGTTTTCCAGCTCACTGGAGTAAAAAAAAGAGCTCATCTGCATAAGACCAACATACAGTGGTGGTCAGTGTGTCTGCTCCACCTATCAGTACCTATCCTAATGCTCAGACCAACTATGTTGGAGATTAGTAAAGCTGTTGAACATGTATAATCTTATAGTTATCTGTGCCCTTTCACAGCTTACTGTAACATTCATAAAAAGTTGAAAGGCGTCAATATGACCCACAACTAAGGAATTTCCCACATTGGGTCCTTCAAAAACTCAAAGCATCTCAAGGCAACTTACCGGAGCATAGGATGTCCAGGAAAGTTCTATAAAATCTGCGTCGCCTGGCTTGACCCATGGTCTAGTTGATCTGAATGACTCCTCTGGGATGTCTTTAATCAATTGAAGTGACAGACACTCTGAGACCAGTAAAACATGGAATACTCTTGGGTTAAGTCATTTTGTAAAGGCTTGTTCGACTGATGGTGCTCACTCCTAATCCTTATGCTAAAACTAGAGAGAGATTTCTTTTTTCTTTCCTACAATAATAGTATCCATGGCGTGATTACATTTCCTCTTGCCTACACCTCGAGTCTTACTAACTATGACATATAACATATAACTATGACATATCCTATTTATCACATTGTGAAACACAGGTGGCTTTAGCACTGTAGAAAGATATACTTTCTACAGAGTCCCAAGGCATTTAGATATGTTTTCACATGCTGTAGTATATTCTTTGCCTTTTTCTTCTGTCTGTGCATGTGCCTACTGTGATCCTTCATTTTAGTGTTTTGTATTTTTTTAGCCAAACGTTAATAAAACAAATTAGCAAAAACAATAAAAAAATACAAAGAATCTAAAATGCTTGCCAATGCGTTTTAACATAGAAGCCATCAACACTGGTCTGGTGTGAAGCCATAAAGGTCACACAAACGGCTCAAAGTAAAAAAAACTAAGTTTGTTGTCTGTATAAAAAAAAATATGGCATTTAAACTCCCTGTATACTCACCTGTCAGCACGAGTGGGGTTCTCCAGAGTGTTATTGGCTGCTACTTCACTGCCAAATCCATCTTTAAACTGCAGCCGAAAACAGGGTCTGTATTAGCTTGGGGTATTGATTGCTTGCCTTTGCAAGCCTTGTATAGTTCAAAACACATAAGTACGGACATGTGCTGCTGATTTTGCTGGTCTCTTTAGTGTTTTTACACACGACTATGAACTCTTGGAGGTCACATTTTCATGAATACTGATCACAGTAAAGGGGTGGGTGTGCTGTTTCTTGCTACATTGTGGACAATTTCTATGACCAGTTGGAGGTCTTGTCCATCTAACCAATAAAGGGGTAAGTAACCAATTATTATGTGTGCATCAAAGTACAAAACTCACAGTAGGTTGGGTGGTGCAGAGGTCACAGCCTGGTCTCGCACCTTCTGTAAAGATCTCCCTGTCTGTGGGTAACAGTCACTTTGACAGTGGAAACCTTCACATCCCAGACATCCCCAACCATTCGTTCCCTGTGTAAGAGCTGACCTTATTGTTTCCCCAAGATAACCTTGTCTGTGAGGATGTTTTCTCAGTGCAAAAACTTGCATACTTTTCCAATAAAAAGTGAACAGGTAAATTTGACAATCAGATTGCTCACTTATGTGTGACTACAGTCACATGTCAGATTTATTTGCTCCCAGTAAGTGGAGTTAGGCCTGCAATTACTTTTCTCTCTTTCTAGCCTCTGAGGAAGAATGGGAGAACATGTATGAACAAAGCATTTTTAAGAAGGCATTTCACTTCAATCTGGAGATGTGCCAAATGAAAGAAACTTAAATATATCCAATGCTGGACTTTTACTGGTTTCCGAGTATGAGATGTTCCTTCAAATAAATCAGTGTTTATCTGCGGCAGATGAGGAAATTCCCTTAAGTTTTTTTATCGCTTAACTTTGAACAATACCTCAATCACTATAGAATCTGTCAAACTTTTTATTATCTAGTACTACTGGATGAAAAAAATGTGTGTTTGTTTAGTGTTCTGTTGAAGTGAACCCGTCAGACTAGAAACATGGAAACTGCTTAATTTCTTTAAAGGAATACTTTGGTTTTATATACATTTCACATGCTTGTTACACAAACATATTTCCATTTTAATATCACCTTTCCATTGCAATCTGCAGTCAGCCAGAATTTTCTAAGGTAGCCCATAAATTTAAAAGTTGTTTCTTGCAACCTTTTCAACAGTACTGGGTTTTTCAATACGGTTTAGCCCCTTCATGATCAGTTACGTACAGTGTACGGTCACTGGCATCGGGCCAGTTTAAACAGACTCCCATGGCCGGCTTTACAATAGAAGCGGTTCCGGCGAGTCAGCTGTCGCCAGATTGCTTCTACGGATCAGTAAACGAGCCCCCCACCGCCCGACACCCCCAGCATGTTTGCCACGCTCCACTGCCCCTCCTACGGGCCTGGGACTGGCATCTCGGATGTCGGGGGGGAAGCTGGGCAGGAGATCGTCCGTTCACCGAACACCTCCATGTACGATTGGACTGGGAGCGATGCAGGTTACACTACTTCCGGTCCGATAGCTGTCAGTGCTGGGCTTCTTTAAAGTGTAAATGGTGAAACTATGCATTTTCTGGACCCCCAGTATCACCTTAAAGAGTACCTGTCTCTGCCAATATGCTATCACATGGGAGGCTTGTAAGCCCTCCAATGTGATAGCAGTTAAAGTAAAGTTAAAAGAAAAATAGTTTTTAAAATTAATATTAAATTAAATAAATGTAAAAATAATACAAAAAACATTTTTAAAGTCCCCCGCGAGCATGTGGATCTTCATGTAAACACGCATCGGGTGCGCCTACGTATAAAAACGACGATCGCGTTACACATGTTGGGTATCGCCGCAAACACCAGAGTAGGAGCAGTAATTCTGTGGCCAATATTTTTACGTGTATCTCTAAACTGTTGACCTGTAGGGGCTTTTAAAGCGTTGTCTATGGACTTTTTGGGGTACTGAATTTTGTTGCAGTTTCACATACGCATGTAATTTTAACCTGGACATGTCATATATATTTTTACTCTTTGTGACCTCATCTTTTATATTTTCTAAAAAAAACTGGGTATTTTATTGTGTTTTGATGCATGTAAGTGCATTAATTTTCGGGTTTGATAAGTAGTTGCACTAATATTGTGCAACCTAAAAATTTGCAACTCCTGCCATTTTATTCTAGAGGGTCTTGGCTTTCAGAAAATATATAATGTTTCGGGGTTTTAGGTAATTTTCAGGCCTAAAATGTGTATTATAACATGTAAACAAAAAATGTTAAAAAAGACCTCGGTCATGAAGGGGTAAAGAACCGTTCAGTTTGAGAACTTCCAAATTTTATTTTTCATCTTTATATCATTGGCTTGCTGAAGGTCCCTGAATTTTCTTTATCTTAGATAATGGGACTAATCCTGTGGCTATAGCAGGCAGACAGACCCACTTAAAGTGTAACTGCACAATGTAATGTGAAAACAAAAGTGCACTTGGTACGGCTTACCACACTTCCTCCTGGTAAACCCAGTGCTTGTTTGAATATAGAAGTACTGCTGTATATGTTTTAATGTAACATTTCCCCCATACTGTAAATAAGTACTGCTGCAAATAGCTGCAGTATGCTGGCGGAGCCTCTTATTACATGACTCTGGCTTGGAAGGAGTGAAAACCTCTGGAGCGTACACCATTTAAAACAAGTCAGCATTGGCCATATTAGTATTCTCTCAAGTTCACTTTAATTTTAATGGTTTAAAAATAACACAAAACGTTGGATTGTAAACAGAAGAAAGAATATATTGATGTGTGAAACCCTACATACACTCATGTAGGTAGTGACTTAAATTGGGTTGAAAGTATGCTTATCTGGGGTATTGGAAGGTAATAATATGCAAGTCATTTCAGAGATGAGCCATCTGCATACAGGAAATGCATTTACAGTGGGTATGCAGCACACAGACCAAAGACTCATTTGAAGCTCGCCTAAATCGTCATCTAAGGCTACTATCAAACCAATACATTTACTGAAACCTGTGTGAGACCTATTCTCATCCCAGGGCTTCCCTGAGATGCCAGTAACCTATCACAGTGGCAGAAACATGGCAGCTCTGACAGAAAGAGATTTGTATTCAGGCAAAGCTATTAATTAGCTTTCTCTGCCTGAATATCACTCAATAGCTGGCCATACACCTTACAATTATCTGCAGATTTTCTATGGTCAGATGGAAAAGGTGCAACAGATTCCTCCATCTACACTTAACTGTGTGGATGGAGTTATCTCCACCTGGGCCAATATGTTGCACTTTTTCCATCTGACCACAGAAAATCTGCAGATAATTGTAAGGCTGGGCACACACCTTACAACCATGGTTGTAAGGTAATTAAAAAAAACATACGATCTGTAGACATGTGCGAATCGTTTCGTTCCGAATCGAAATTCGGACGAATTTTCGGAAATTCGGACATTCGGATGTATCCGAATTCCGAATTACAGACATAACGAATGCAAACGAATCCGAATTTCCATTTCCGAAATTCGGTAGCGTTAGTACGAACGTTCGTTTCGTTTTCTGTTCTTATTCGTTTCTTATTCGTTTCTTATTCGTTTCGTTCGTTGGAGCAAAGTGACATTAGAGAAGGAGAAAAATATTTTTTCCGCCTCAAATGTCACTTTTGCTGCAACGAACGAAACGAATAAGAAACGAATAAGAAACGAATAAGAACAGAAAACGAAACGAACGTTCGTACTAACGCTACCGAATTTCGGAAATGGAAATTCGGATTCGTTTGCATTATTGTTGGCATCACATGCTGCAGAGCAACTTATTAACTGCATAAAACTGAATTCTGGCCCTGCATTTCATAGAAATTTGCCCGCTATTAGGATATCAGCGTCTGGTTCTGAACTAACTTCATACTTAACTCTGACTCATTCCTGTAAGTGTTTCAATATTCCTTTCCAAGTGTTACAGTATCCAATATTCTCTTTGGCCGAATCCTTCCTGAAGGATTAGGTCTTCTTCTAGAATACTGAAGATCATACACAAAAATAATAATAATTTAATCTCAAAGTCTGGTAATCATTAGACTTATTTTTGTTTTCTCATAACATAAAATGAAACTCTGAGGCGTCTTGACCGATTGTAGGAAATGAGCAATGAGAGAAAACCAAGGGATAGTGTAGAAATACCAGATAATGATATCTTAAAAATGATCTTTACTTTTGTCACAGATAAGACATTTTCCATGTCCAGCTCTGGCTGTCATCACACAACAAGCTTGTAGGAACATTCTCTCGGAAACACCATGTGGACTCTTACCACAAACCATAATAGGACATACTTGAGGTACAGTACACAGTCAAGCATCCCATCTCTAAGCCTTTACATTCCTGGGGTTGTATTTAGGCAACAAAACAATGGAGATGACAATGCATGTTTCCTTACTCAGTTAATGTAGAGATGGAATTTCATTTCTTGAATGTAAAATGGGCAGGGAAGATAGACTTCAAGAAATAGGCAAAGCTGATTATGCTTTCTTAACCAACTATTGCGTGGTTTGAAATAGTTATGAAAAATAATTAATTTTGGTAATGGAAGGGTAAGATAGCAAAATATAAAAAAAAGCAAAAACTATACTAGTCTCAGCCATTCTGGACTAGTGTGCCTGTATTATAAACTTTTTTTATCACTTAAAGTGACATTAAACCCTCAGATTTTTTAACATAAACCAATACTGTAATGTGTGCCTTACTGTAATCCATGGTAGTTTCCCTTCTCTTTGCTGCTCTTCCTTTTAAATCCTTATCTCTTCTCATGCTTGGGGGAGAACTTCCCTTTGCAGCTGAGTGCCTCTTCCTGTAGTGCTGGCTCAGGTTGTGAACCTGCACACAGACACCATGTATCCATTTCAGAGACAAGGCAGTCTGCTGCAGAACAGAAGTTCTGCCCAGCATGAGAAGAGAGACGGATTTAAAAGGAAGAGCAGCAAAGAGAAGGGAAACAACCATGGAATACAGTAAGGCACGCATTACAGTATTGTTTTATGTTACAAAATCTGAGGGTTTAATGTCACTTTAAGGTTCCAATCTGTGAGCTGGTTGTTGGCAAAATCTTTTAAGGCCTTTTTTGCAGGTAATCCTCCTGATTATAGTTTGATATCCTCTTGGATATTGAACAGCGACATGGATAATATCAATCACACTTTGGCCTGTGTATGTGGCTCTCGTACAACTTCATCTCTTGGATGGAGAACATAGGACCCTGCTCCCTGTGCTCATATGTGAGCTTCACCTATGACAAGTTGTTGGAAACCTCTTTATAGCAGGTGCAGGTCACTTCTTTTTTCAGTGGAGAAAAGGAAATACATCATCAACTGAAATGCATTTTGGATTCAAGGTCCTTTTTTGTTAAACAAATTGTTTGACATCAAGTGACCATTAATTAAACATTAAAATAAGAAATAGGTTTCTTCATGTATTTTTCTTTTCTTTTTTTTTTGTGTTAAGTGCATGTCATATTATTAGCAAATTTATTTCAAGGTTTATAACTCAAAATCATTACAGCTTTAAAAAACTCTTTTGCCAGACCATTTAGTTCAAGAAGAGAGGCTGGGCCAGCGCAAGCAGTAAATAGGTATGCCCAAAAAGGGGAGGGCTAAGACATGCACAGAAGACCGGGTTGCATTACGGATATCTTGCTGAAATAGTCAAATTTTCTAGCAGGTTCAAAGACACATTGCAAATAAAAAAAGAAAAAAACCTTTCATGAAAGAAAAGTAAGCATTTAAAATATTTGATTTTTCTTTGCTTTTACATTCAAGTTTTCTTGTTGGTGACAGGGTCTCTAAGTTTTCTTGCAGTTTTTTTAATTGACATGATATTTGTGCATCATTAACTTCAAATCTAACATGGTTATTCACAAAAGGGGGGAAGAGTTTGGAGAAGGCAGGAGAAGTGGACAATCTAGGACAACATAGCTGAACTGGAAAATTCTCCAATTCAGCTCACTTTCCAGTTCAGCTATGTTGTCCTAGATTGTTCACTTCCCCTGACTTCTCCAAACTCTTCCCCCTTTTGTGAATAACCCTGTAAATCTCTCTGTTTCTAGCGATTTCATCTTATATCTTTGGTTATTATAACAAAAGAGGTTAGATGTTCTTGTGCCTGGTGTATCTGCAGTGTGCTCAGTAGCAGGATACAAATAGCTGGCCTACATTGTAATCTAAATATAAAAACACTTTAATTGAACAGGTTTACTAAAAGTGATGATAAACCTTCATTTTTTTTTTTTTTTATTATTATGAAGGTCAGACTTGATTGAACTGCCTTTTGTTTCTTCTTTAAAGATTTAAATTTCCTCATTCTCTAGTTGTCCCCAAACCGCGGCCAGTGGTGTCACAAGGGGTGTGTGGCCAGTGGCGTAACAAGGGGAGTGCGGGGGGTGTGGCCAGCACCCGGGTAACACCATTGGAGGGGTGACACCAAAATGACTGACAGTCATTTTGGTGTCACCCCCCCTAAAAAGTTGGACACTCGGTCATGGACTGAGAGCCCGACAGTGTCAGAAGAGAGGAGGGGACCCAGCGGCATACCTCATCCTGCCGGGTGAATGTCTCCTACTCTCTCTGCTGGCATCCACTACCAAGATGGCTGCCGGCAGGCATCAAATAGATGCATGCGCGATGACATCATCGCACACACGCGTGGTAACGTCACTCGCATGCACGATGACGTCACGGCGGGGTGTCACTCGGTCTCCGCTGGCCTCGGGACACCCCTGCCGCTAGCCCCCCTCCTTGTGTGCTGGTGTCTCTATCAGTTAACCGGCTGCTGAGGAGACACCCGTGTGTGCCCATTTCCGCCCATAGTTGTGTGCATCCATAGACGCACAAAGCTTGCGGTAAGCCACACCACCCACTTTGACTGATTGAAGAAAGAGCATATAGCTCCTCTGCCCTCAGTACCCTCCCCTGGAACCAGGAAGTTCGGGTAAAGCTGAGTTTCTACCTGGTCTTGGCGGTGAACACAGGGGGACCACAGGAAAGTGTGGGGGGGTGGGGGGTTACAGAAAGGTACTGGCCATTTTTTTACATTAATGCAGAGAATGCATTAGAATAAAAAATGCCTATCCTTTCGTAATATTTTAAAGCTGAATGCTGAGCACAAACATTATTTTCTATATATTCTTCAATAGACAGAAAGGTAATACATCTGCTTTGTGTGTATCACCTTGTAAAAGTAGTTCTGACATTATCACTGGGCTGCACATAATTACTACTACATGCTGCCTGCAAAAAACTACACGAGGCAGATACAAGACCAGTCACCCTGCACAGTGGCGTAACCAGAGTTATTGGCGCCCGGGGCAGAACATTTTTTTTGCCCCCCCCCCCATATTATATAAACATCCACTAGAACTGTACCCCCCACACATATACAGTGCTCGCAGTGGCCTCGGAAGAGCGAGCGGCCGCCCGATGACAGAGCCGGGTGATCGTGTCAGAGAGAGGGAACCACTGCCCGCTCGCAGTGGCCTCGGAAGAGCGAGCGGCCGCCCGATGACAGCCGGGTGATCATGTCAGAGAGAGGGAGCCATGGCTTCCTTTAGCGGGGGTCGTGACGGCGCCCCCCCTCAGTCCTGCGCCCGGGGCAAGTGCCCCCCCGGTTGTTACGCCGCTGACCCTGCACAAGGAGAGAGAGCAACAGTGACCGGTCTGTATTAAAGGAAGCTCCTACACAGAGGTAAAGTTTCACACTGGATTACTGCACAGATCTGGAAGAAATACACAAAGCACACTGAGATTTGGGTAAGAATACACATGACTCTTGTATTTAGACAACATTTGCTTTTCCTGTAGTTCAGCTTTTAAGGCAATGTTCTTCTACTGATTTATGAATGAAAAGTAGCTGGATGGCTGGGTTTTTATGCAAAAGGTAGACATAAACAGAGCTATAGCAAATAAGTACCTGTGCCATCTACTGCTTTTTCTATATAGACTGTACAGAAATAGCCTGCAGCTGTTGCTATATAGTGGCAAATATTTGGATACAGCACAACGGTTTCTGGGTCCATGAGGTCAGGGGGCCCATACATAACTGCTCGTCCCCTTTATATGCAAGCTCTGTGATCACATTACGTTCTGTAATGAAAAAAGTAGCATTTCTTTTCATTGAAATCCATTTGTTCTGCTCTTCTATGTGCTGTTTAAACATCTAAGAGATCTAAAACATTTTAAAAGCTTAAAAAGAACTTTACCGAAATGTTCATTAAAGGCTATGATAGCAGACCAGCCGAGGCAGATAAGCGAAAATAATTGTAAGGATTAAAAAAACGAACCTTTCTGGAAGAAAAAGCTGCTGTACTTTATGTTAAAGTACATCTAAACCCAATCTCATAGAAGTGTTAACATGTTAATATAATTTTTAAAGCCGTCTTTAGTATTTTTAAAGCTACAGTTTTTATTAAAGTGACACTAAACTAAGGAGTTAAATCTTAAACATGCATTCAAGTATTTTAGCTGTTAACAAAAATGTATCTTATTTGTGTATCACCCGCTGTAGATCCTCAAATCATCTCTGAACTGGTGCTGACACTGTCCTTCCTTCTGGAGGGTGACTACTTTTGTTCCCCATGGTCCCTTTGTGTTGTAATGTAGCCACCGCTCCAAGCTCACTCCTATGATGAACTATACATCTCACATTCAGTTCACTAATATGTATTGAGTTTGTAGTCCATCACAGGAGCAAGTTTGGAGTGCTGGCTACTTTGCAACACACACAGGACCATTGGGAACAAAAGTAGCCACCCTCCAGAAGGAAGGACAGTGTCAGCATGAATTCAGAGATGATTTGAGGATCCGCAGCTGAGTGATGTACAAATAAGATACATATTTGTTAATAGTTTGAGTACATGAATGTATTTTTGAGATTTAAAGTGACATTAAACCCTCAGATTTTTTAACTTAAACCAATACTGTAATGTGTGCCTTACTGTAATCCATGGTTGTTTCCCTTCTCTTTGCTGCTCTTCCTTTTAAATCCTCATGTCTTCTCATGCTTTGGGAGAACTTCCCTTTTCAGCTCAGGGCCTCTTCCTCTAGTGCTGGCTCAGGTTACAAGCCTATAGAAACGTATACACAGACACCGTGTATCCATTCCTGAGACAAGGCAGTCTGCTGAAAAACAGAAGTTCTGCAGAGCATGAGAACAGATACAGATTTAAAAGGAAGAGCAGCAAAGGGAAGGGAAACAACCATGGATTACAGTAAGGCACACATTACAGTATTGGTTTATGTAAAAAAATCTGAGGGTTTAATGTCACTTTAACTCCTGAGTTTAGTGTCACTTTAAAAGAATGCTTAGTGATCCTGCCATACACTTGTTTAGGTACTTCCTCTTATGGGATGACAACTGTCTCCTAATTGTGAGTCTGAATTATCACCTTGTGACATGTTCTCCTGTTGGAGAATGCAAGTGGCCATGCTGACCCTTATTGCCCAGCCATGACCCACCATTGCCACTATTAAGAGTCTAGTCCATAGTAATGGTGTTCTACATGGACATGTAGACAGGAAATGAATACAAGAGGCTGGAGAAGATTAGCAGTGCTGTGATGGAACAATTATTTTTTGGTTAAAGCAGTAATTGTAGAAAAAAAACATAGCAGTTCCTTGTGATACACAGGGTTTTAGCAAACTAAATATCATCCAGTTAGGATTTAGGTCTACTTTAAAGTACATATAAAGCCAAAACATTTTTTAGATTTTGATACAGTGAAGAGGGTTTAGAATACCTGTCTGGTTTTTATCTTACAGTTAAGGGATATTGAGAGAATTGCTCATTAACTAGGCCCACATTTTTAATTTGTATATCAGCAGAACAGAACAAGAATTCCAACAGATGGCTCAGAAATCAGGCTTTACATTGTGAAATGGGATCATAGAGCCAATATATAAACCACTCTCAGGAGGTGGATATACTTGAGTAGCTCTGGAGGGTGCATACCTACAAAACATGTTTGGGCTTTGTTTGCCATCTTTCACCCACAGCTTTACCTATTTGATCAGATATTCCTAAAGGATTGCTTTAATGTACAGTTACAATGAAGGTGCTAGGGCTGAGTAGGGTACCTCCGTCGGAAAAGGGCCAAGTATGAAGATCGGAAACATCAAAAGTCCTTTCCTACATATTTGTTACTGGGCAGCAATCTAAAGTATTCAAGCCATGTGTCCAGTAGGACAACCAGGCAAGGGGTTACAAATGATAGCCTTCATGTTTCTCTAGTGACCATTGTACTTTGAGCTGCTAAAATAAGATTCTTCTCACATTTTGCTCCTTTAGAGATGTTTAGGCATCAGGTATCAGGCTGGCCCTATTGACATGTTGCATTGAAGCTGTACTTCTTTTACTTGCACGTTTCATAGTTTTACACTACAGAACTGCCTTTATGCAGACAAAGCTGTGTCTGGATAGGCGTTTCTAAACTGACCAGTATCAGCAGGTAAATGAAGCAACAAAACTCCAGTGCAAAGCATGATGCTGCTAATCAGAAGCTAATCCTTCTTAGAGCATCTGTGCAATGTCTTTAAGAGATAAAACATGTCTGAAACAGATGTGCTCAGCTTTGAATCAGACTTACAGGACAGAACACATTCATGCAATTCAATAAATAATAAACTAAACTTTTTTTGTTGGGTCTGCATTGCTGGAAATTCTGGAACTTTATGAAATTATGTATACAGTATGCAAATGTTTACAGACTTTGTCCAAAAGTTCTTTTTTTTTAAATGTTTGCCTCGCTCCTCAAATTTCCTCCTCATCTGCAGTCTCCTCATATCTGTAGCCATCTATGAGGTTACAAACTGTCAATAAATGTAATATTCAACGTACAGGTCAGGGTTTTTAACTCTGCTTCCAGCTGAAATGTATGTTTCTTTTCTTTCTTGATGTCCGTAATGCATTTTTAATGATTTCTGTTTTCCATCTAAAATGTAAAAACACTACTAGACAACAGTAAACCATGCATGTCAAAATCTTCTAGTCGTACTTATAGCAATTGGGCTGTGTTTGTAGTTATTGTGATGTATTGTTTCTTTGGCATCAGTGTTTGCAAATGGCAAAGTAATTTCACGTGTGTTGGATAGCTGCATTAGATGGCTTGTCTCTGTTTTATTTTACTGCCTATTTCTGTTAAACATTAACAACTTTAAAGAGACTCTGCCACAAAAAAATAAACAAACAGCATAAAAAAGTTAATTTATAATACTTACCTTTACTGCTGCCATTGCAGCCGACCTTCACTTCTGCTGTGGCTTTCCCAACAGTGACTATGCCACAAGTGTGTCTTTTCAGAGCTGCATGTCAACAGTAGTAACATAGAGGTCTTCACTTTGGAGCAATTTCCTCATTTCATGTTGTGGCTTTGGAACAGGGAGTGAAGGTCCAATAGCCGGAGGACCTTGCAGCTTAGAAAATAAACAAAGCATAAGAACGTTTATATATAACACTTACCATTACTGTTCTAGTTGTTGCCAATCTTTCCCACCAGTTGCTACATCACAAGTGCATGGTCCATGCAGAGACCATCATTTCTGCGTGGTCACAGTAGTGGCATAGTGGCCAGGAAAGTGGCAAAAGCCAAAGTATGCACTGGGTAGATGCAGGCATCCAATGAGCTCTTAAGTGTTGGATGCTGAAGATTCTACCAGCAGCTTACCTCTGCAAGAGAGTGAAGACTGGCTACAACACATATGGCAGTGGTAGGTATAATAAATGTACCTTTCTATGCTTTGTTTATTTACATTTTTGAAGTTAGTGATAATGTAATTTAAAGATAATCTATGGTCTTTTGTGAAAATAATGACCTTACTATAAATAATGCTAAAAAGACCCTGGTGCCCAACTTGTCTCCAAAGGGCTGCATGTGACCCTTTGGTACTTATTGCGTGGCCCTCAGGCCCTAGCAGCCAGTGGTGAGTATTTTCCCTACCGAAGTGCTTGCTCAAAGCCAGTGTAGCAAAAATATTCATTAGACTGGTTTCTGCTAGTTTCATGTTTTGGATTACTTTTTCATTTTTGTGCTGTTCAATGCCTTTTTTATGTACTTTTTCCTCTGGCGTTTTATGCCAAGATATCTGTAAAAAATAAATCAAGGAGGCAACTGGACTTGGTTTATTTTTCTTGAAGATGTTTCACTGGTCATCCAACCAGCTTTCTCCATTCAGAGGAATATGAAATGTGGTGCCAGATATTTTTAGGGATGTTGTAGGGAACACAAATGTGAACACATTGATTTGCAAAGGGACTGTTATAACAGTTATCTCTCAATCTCAAATAACATGTTCTGAGTCTCCAATTACTCCTGTGGCATGTTAAAGGATTCTGACCATCTACTGTAATGTTTCCTGCAGCATTCCATATCTTAAATGTTATGTGTGGCTGGCCTTCGGCTGATGTTAGCATTTCCGGTCACTTTTATTAAGGCACAACTGTGTGTGTTATAAGTTCTCTCTCTCTCTATCTCTCTCTCTCTCTCTCTCTCTCTCTATCTCTCTCTCTCTCATTATATATATACACACACACATTTAAATAGATATGCTTTGCTTAGCAGTTCTGAACGGTCATGGGCTTTACTGATCTTATTGTAATTCAAGTCTAAATTTGATCATAGACATCAGCCAACAGTCGGATGTGCTTGTGTGATTCAGTTTCACTACATCTTTTGGCCCAGCATTTGCCCTAAAAAGAAAACTTCTGGTTGCACAAGCATTTCTGGTTTAGGCAGTGAAGGTAGGCTGGAAGGACCACTCAGGTACCACTGAAAGTAGGCTGGAAGGACCACTCAGACGGCTTACATTTTTATAGTAGAAGCAATTATACAGAGTTATCTAACCTTTTAAGTCACTTTGTCAACTGACAATACTCAGCTGAATCTGATAAGGACAGATTATAGACAGATCTTTGCACAATCTGACTGAAAACTATTAGATTATAAGACCCTCATGTGATATCTTCAGCCACCTATGTTCAGAAACTGGATAACACAAGGGCGACCAAAGACAGCCTGATCCTGTCCTTCCCCAGCGTTATACCCCAGGGTTACACTTGAGCTATTCAGAGCTACCTTATGGGGGAGATAGTAAACACTCCCTACTGTCATAAACGCTCCGACACTGCACCCAAAGACTTTCCAACGAACCTTCTGGATGTTCTTATTATTACATACAGAGATCTTTTGAGGCACTGGAAACATCTCTGCATAGACTGTAAAAAAAAGTTCCTTTTCCATAAAGAAAAGGTAACAAAGCTTTCACCATGCATGCACTGTACCAATCTTTAATCCATGTAAAAAAGAATTGTAGCTGGTCAGACTATGACCACCTAGCAGCCCTCTTGATCATTCCAGAAAATGACAAAACTTCTTATGTGGTTCTAGTGAAAATTGTTCATTGACATTATTGTAATAGCTGAAATCTATTTTTAACAAAACATTGCTTTTTAGGCTTGAGTATTTCTATTATGATCATACAGGAAAGACTTCTACTCATTCTGAAATAGTAGCCAATATTCTCAGTACTTAAGACAGACATACACAGGAGTGAATTCAGATGCAGCTATTCTGGACCCACCAGAGGAATATAGTAATGAACAGCTGCAGGTTTAGAGGAGGAATGTTACTTTGTGATATCTCTCTTGTCTCATATACTTAGAAAAGGAGAGAAGAAATTAAAGTTAGTATGATGCCAAGACAATCTGATGACTACTGATAGAAAACAGTGCTGGTGCACATAAAAAAACAAACAATAAATGACCCATAAAGATAAAGAGCAATGAGTAAAAACATAAAGCAATCATTCCAAGTCCTTGTACTTGAGCCCTAATTTACATACAAGCCGGTGAAAAGGCTTCTTAAGACTTTTAATATGCTATACAGTACAGTGATGATTATTTACTTCTTGACACTGATCATACAAACGTTCAAAGTGTTTATTAAAGTGTACGTATAGCCAAAACTTTTATCTTCTTTAGTTTTTGGTAGAGTAGTGAAGAGTTAAACTCCTGTCACCTTATTTTTTGCAGTCTGTGTCCCATTGGGTGAATTACCCTTTATGTCTTGTCCTAGAGTCTTCACATAGACTCAATAATAGCATGCAATGTCAAGCCGCAGTTTCTAAAGCAAGCAAAATACTTTCTTGTATTATACGGGGTCTAGACTCCAGAGATAGAGACATAATCCTGCCCCTGTACAAAGTATTAGTAAGACTTCATCTGGAATATGCAGTTTAGTTTTGGGCACCAGTTCACAAAATGGATGTTGTGGACCTGGAGAAAGTGCAGAGAAGGGCAACTAAACTCATAAGAGGGCATGGTGGAGCTCAGCTATGAGGAAAGACCTTTGTTCTCTCTGGAGAAGAGGTGATTAAGGGGGGGACATGATCACCATGTATAAATACATGAATGGTCCATATAGTGAGCTTGGTACCAAATTATTCACTTTAATGTCATTGTAGAGGACAAGGGGGCACTATTTGCACCTGGAGGAAAAGGGGTTTAACCTTTGCATACGGAAAGGATTCTTCACAATTAGAGCTGTGAAAATGTGGAATAGACTCCCCCAGGGGTTAGTACTAGCTAGCTCAGTTACGGGTTAAAAAAAATCTGGATGTATTCCTAAATGCACAGAATATTACTGGATATTAAGTTATTATAGGTATATTAAGCACTAAAGATTGTCGATCCAGGGAATATCCGATTGCCTTATGGGGTCAGTAAGGAATCGTTTTCCCCTGTTGGAGCAAATTGAACAATACCATATAGGGTTTTTTTTTTGCCTACCTCTGGTAGTGGGTAACTGTGGACATACTGTTCTGTTTTAGGTTTCTCTTCTTTTTTTTTTCCTCATCTCTATAGGTTGAACTCGATGGACTTGTGTCTTTTTTCAACCTGAGTAACTGTGTAACTATGTAACTTTCTGTCTTTCTAATAATGGTCACCGGGACCATAGATAAATAGAGAGGACAATCTACCTAGAGGGGGAACAAGCAGCATTAAAAACTTGACAGGGATTTTAATCTCTTTCTACTCTATCTAAAACAAAACAACAGCAAAAAAGTTTTGGCTATACATACATTATACTTGCCCCCTTTCTGTAAGGTAGAGCCAAGAGTCCATTAAGAGATGCAAACTGTTAACTTTTAATTCCTCTAATGGAATTGTCCTGTGGTACATTGTTTTGTGTCAATGTGAGGCAGTGGGTGACCACAGACCAAACATTTTAATTACAAGGCGTAGATATTAAATCATTAAAACTGGATAAACAAAAACATTTCTGACATTGACGTTTAGCTTTGTTACCCGCTGACTCTGGCACCCCACTGGCACAGCATTCAATGAGCTTACACCACTAATCCATTTACTTTAGAATGGACTTGGTGAGAAAGATGCCAAGTCATTTCTGCAGTATTTTGATGCAAATTGCAAGAGATTAAATATTCCATTATTACTGCCCAAGAACCAACATCACATACCATTGTATTCCATAGAAATCATAATTGTTTATTTTTACTATGTACAAAGAGGTGTTTATTGAAACCTAGCTAAATAACACATTTCAAAGTTGTCTTCTAAGGTTCAGCAGTGTCTCTGCTAGAGTCAGAAGCTTTACTGACTCTTCAGCCCCATACTCTGGTTAATCA